TTTGAAGTGAATCACTGTTGTAATGTAGGAGATCACAAGCGAGCTTTCACAAACAGCAATGTGATAATGATCAGATCCTCTGGGTATTTTTATGTTGTTGGTTGAAAATTAAACATTGACTCAGACACTGGGAATAACTCTCCTGCTCTTTCTCGAAATAATACAACGGGATCTTTTACGCTCACCTGAGAGAGCAGACTTTAATTCTTCTAATGGCTTGTCAAAAAGAGTCAGGCCAAACATATCTCCAAGTTTTATTACCAGCTTCTTATATAAGAACATTGAAATTGAGGTTGTTGGTGGTGGTCCAGTGGTTGAATGGCTGGTAAATGGCACTTTGTGGATTGCAATCCTGGTTAACACATTTCTGACATCTAATGATGTTGTGCAAGTAAGTAAGTAAAAGTAAGTCTGGACTTTTATTACATATATCAACACATCTGTACTTTTTGTTCAACAAATAACCTTCCCAAAAAACTTCTAATGAAGCCTCATCTATTGAAATCACATGAGACCTCAGCTAACAGTCACACAGGAAGCAAAATGAGGAGACTGCAGGTTCTTGCTAGATATTATTGTAATAATTCAGTTAGATGTACAGGAAAGCATAACAATGGACAAAGAATTAGTTTTAAATGGGAGAAACAGCATTCTACTGAGCTCAGTTGTGATGTGGAAGAAGTGGATTGTGAAAGGTTACTGAAAAGTGAATCAATGTTGGCACTGTGTGGCATTTGTGGATTGAAGGAAGCTCCTATCAATCCTCTCCCTTTGTCTGAGTTAAGGGCCTAATAGGTTCGCAGTGGTAAAGGACCAACCACTAGAGCATCTTAACAAGAAAACGCTCTGCTTTTAACAAGGTGTTGTTTAGTGCATCATAATTGAATACTTTACATTACTTCATTAGACATTGTTATTAAGACTATGAGGGGACTCGTGGATATACACCTGTAATTTTAAGGATTCTAAGATATCTCCACCCAGGCCAGCATGATAACTTTAGATTGCATGGAGGTTAATACAGTCTTCAACATTAATCCTTTAAGAACCATAACATTATATCACATCTTCACCTCCAATTTTTCGTTTGTCTATTGCTAGTATTTATACATTTATATATATATAATTATATTTAATACTACCCTATCTGCCCCCAACCTCACCACCACCCAACCTCCAGCTCCACCCTCAAGTCTCTAACTTCACAAATTTCAGAAGGTTTCATAATTGTTCCAGAACATGTTCTCTTCAGACTTGGAAGTTCTTTGGCTTGAGAATGGTTGTCCTTAATTCTGATCTTAACTTTGCAGACTCTGCAAATTGTCTCTCTACTAGGACGGGACATTCAGCAACATATCCATTCCTTTAACTGATCGCTGCTAATTACCATGACAAGCTTCCTAACTTTCTGTCTGCTCTAAAAAAACAAGTTAAGGCAGAAGTACTGTGCACAAGTTAGCGCTGGCTGAAGAGGAAACAAACTAAAAGGCGAGGCAGGGATGCTGTAAGCAAAGTGGGTGCACAGTGAACACCAGGAGAGCAAGTGAACTGGCCTGAGATACAACCTGGGCCAATCCATGAGCTGGGTGCCAGCCCATGCCCACAAAGTATCCTTGCAGTAGCATTCCAATGAAAGGCGCCAGTGCGCTCCAAACTGAAACTTAAAATGTAGAAGTGTGCTGTAAGTGGATAGAAGATGTGCCATGATGGTGCGGAAAGGCTGTTATGTGTGTCAGAACCAGTGTCTGTGGACAAGAGGTATGTGAGGCTAGTGCCCATGGAATGTGCTGTGAGATTTTAGTATTGTGTTTCCAAGATGGGTCAGTGCATTGAGTATAGGAGTTGGGAAGTCAGTTTGCAGCTGTATAGGACTTTGGTTAGGCCACTATTGGAATACTGCATGGAATTCTGGTCTCCTTGCTATAGGAAGGGTGTTATGAAACTTGAAATGGTTCAGAAAATATTTACAAGGATGTTGCCAGGTTTGGAGGGTTTGAGCTATATGGAGAGGCTGAATAAATGGGTTCTTATCCCTGGAGTGTTAGAGACTGAGGGGTGAACACGTAAAGGTTTATAAAATCATGAGGGGTATGGATAGGGTAAATAGATAAGGTCTTTTCCTGTATTGATGGAGGCGGAGAGTCCAAAACTAGAGGGCATAGGTTTATAGTGAGAGCAGAAAGATTTAAAAGAGATCTAAGGGGCAACTTTTTCACACAGAGGGTGGTGCGTGTATGGAACGAGCTGCCAGAGGAATTGGTGGAGGCTGGTATAACTATAACATTTAAAACTAATCTAGATAGGTATATGAATAGGAAGAGTTTGGAGGGATATGGGCCAAATGCTGGCAATTGGGACTAGATTTATATAGGATAGCTGGTCAGCATGGACAAGTTGGACCAAAGGGTCTGTTTCCTGAAGGGTTTTGTTCCTGATTTACAGCATCTGCAGTTCTTTCGGTTTTTGTTTGGCCTGTTTCCGTGCTGTATACCTCTATGACTCTATGACCATATTTCTATTTCTGTAAAAAAAATGCTGGAGATCACAGCGGGTCAGGCAGTGTCCATGGAGAGACAGCAATGCTAACATTTTGAGTCTAGATGACTCTTCGTCAGATCCCCAGCATTTTTTATTTTCAGTACAGATTCCAGCATCTGCAGTAATTTGCTCCTACAAATCATTTCTATTGACTAGAATTAACTGGTGGCAAGGACTCATGACAGAGGCGGGGAGTGATCTGGACTATTTCTTTTTCTGTTGGCTATTTCTTTTATTTCTGCCTCTGTTTTTAATCCTGTCTTTTGTATGCTAAGATGGTGCCAGAGAATGGTGATTTTTTACACTTTTCACTGTACTCCTGTATCCCTGCACTCAAGTACACCTGTCAATAAAATCAAATCTAAATCTAAAGTTTTCACTTGTAAGCCAGTTTCTTGTCTATTTCTTCAGCTATCCCCTTGATTTCCTTATGACAACTAACAAACACATAGCTGTTTATGAAAAATATCATGTGCATCTACCACAGCTGCTGTTCCTTTGATTTTAGGTACCCAATGCTCATCCAAATAAGACAATTGTTATAAGATAGCTATTCTTATATTCTTCCACAGTCATAATTCCCCTCACATTTTCAATGTTTGCTCTAACAACAAAACCATTGATCCCAAAACTAATCTCAACAGATGTCGAATTGGGCTTCATCTTTACTGTTCAAAGCTTCACAGGCAGATTTCTACAACAAGTTCATTTGAGGTCGATTCCACAGTTTTACCTTTCCACTGATCTTCTAATGATTCATTGCTTTATCAGGTCAGGACACTTTGTAGCATAAGAGTCCATGGGTCCCTTTGCCATTTCAACTTTTTATCACTTTTATGAAACCTGAGAAAGTATCTCCCTATCCTTTCTTCCATAAATTTAGGAATGAAAGGAAGATTTATTGTTAAATCAAGCTTCCAAGTGGGACTTTCCTCCTCACTTAAACAGGGAACAATGGACAATGAGGTGAACATAAAGTGGTGAGGCACTGGGACCAAAATGATGAGTGAAGATAGTGAAGGCAATGTTCATTTCCAATAATTTGAAGAAACATAAATATCAAAAGGAGTTTCAAAGTGAAACAAAAGTTGGGCCAGGCTAATGACCTGAAAGAGACTGCTGACTGTAAAGTCCAACTATTAACAGTCACACTGCACTATTGTGCCTCAGAAACTTAGAAAGAAAAGATTACAGAAGATTTATACAAGTCATGTGCAGAGACAGTCAGTTGTCTTATGCAACTGAAACAATGAGGAGGTACCTTAAAGGGGGAAAGTATTCTAAAATGTTCAGAATTCAAAGATCATTGAGAACTGATCATTGACTTCAGAAAGAAAGGAGGAGAACACATCCCCATCTACATCAACGGAACTGAGGTTGAGAGAGGGAAGAGCATCAAATTCCTCAGAGTGACAATAACCGACAACCTGTCCTGGACCTCCTACGGTCAAGAAGGCACAACAACGCCTCTTCTTCCTCAGGCGGCTCAGGAAATCTGGCATGTCCATAAGGTCCCTCACCAATTTCTACAGATGCACCATTAAAAGCATTCTGTCTGGGTACATAATGGTCTGGTAAGGACCGTAAAAAACTACAGAAGATGGTGTGCACAGCCCAGACCAAGACCGAAACCAACCTTCCATCCATGGACTCAATTTACACAGCTCGCTGCTGCGGTAAGGCAGCCAACATCATCAAAGACCCATCGCACCCTGGTAATGACCTCCTACAACCTCTTCTGTCAGGGAGAAGGTACAGAAGCCTGAACACATGCACGAGCAGGTTCAGGAACAGCTTCTTTCTGGCTGTTCTCTGACTGTTGAATGGACTCTAGCCTCAAATAATGTAACCTGCAATGTAGCCTGTATGCCTCTAAGTCTTTTTGATCTGTACATCCTTTGCTTGCTGCGATCTGCCTGTATCGTCATAAACCAAGCTTTTCACTGTATTTCGGTACACATGACAATAAAATCAATCAATCAATCAACCAATACCACTTAGGAAGGCTTGAACTACAATTAAGGGGTGATAATCTCATATTTATAAAACAAATTCTTGAGAGGAAATATTTGTTTAAGTCTTCAGAAGGCTATCATGAAAAAAGCAAACTTTTGACAATGATTGAGATCACTTACAGAATGACCTTTTGCAAAAATGAGTTTGAAAGCAAACATAGAACTATAGCCCTCAACATCTAGCTGTCCAATCATTTGACTGAAATTAAGACAAGTGGGCAGGTGCTATATTCTTAATGTCCTGCTACTGAATAATTTACCATCACCCCCGTCTGCAGACACAGAAAGCTTTTATGGATTCTGGTCCAGAAATGTATTTCCTTCCTGAAGATTATACACTTCTACTTTCTGTTGGAGTTCAGAGGATGTTATTTCCTTCAGAGGAGTGTCCTCATGCTGACACAGGTCTGCATTTGATATCACCATTTACAGAGGACTTACCCCTGGCTCAGAGTGCACCACACCAGAACTGGAGATGGAGAATTTTACTTCCTGTTCAAGGGGATGTGATAGATTAGATGCTGAAGGGTTGCCTCAACAATCAGTTTTTCCTTGATTGATCTTCATGGCTATACAAGACATAAAACAGTTGTTGTGAGACACTGCCTTGCCACTCCAGCTCTGCGATTGCCTTCCAAGGCAATGATAAGGGAACACATATGGATTCGCAACAAAATATTACTATCCTTAGGCAATATTGGCATAGCTGTCAAACTAACCATACTGCCCTAACACAGTGACAAAATCAACCACCTAGACTGGGGAGGGATTTTGAATGTTGTATTTTTTAATGCAAATGTATAAATGTCACAATTTTGAAATGTCTGTATTTTAGAAGTTTTGCATTTGGCAAACAATCACACCTTGTTGTCTCGCATTCTCCAGCATCTGCAGTTCCTACTATCTCTTGTTAATACACAAGGTCTGAGACTGCCATCTTGTGGTTATCTTTAAGTATGTGCAGTTTTATTTGAACGCGAGCAACAAAGTTTCCTGGAATGGAATAAATGAGAAAGACAGCCAGTAAACATGCTGATTCACCGGCCCTGACATAAACTCATCTCATAGTTTCTCAGGAAGCTGATTTACGTACAGCTGCAGTGAATATAGTGATAGAGCAGTGTGACTAAGAGCATTTGCTGGAACCTGGGTTGAAGTAATTCTGAAGTGGTCAAGCATTCATGGCCTTACAAGGTAAAAAACAAAGGCTGTAGTTGTGGCTGTTCCTTCATATTGACATCAGCTGGGCTTGACACAGTGGGAGGAGGTATTGTGAATTACCTGCTGAATAACTCTGCCAGTATTCACCCTGAATTCCCCAACAGCTCAAAGTGTCATCCCCTCCTAGGGGCCCTCTCCCTTGGGTCAGGTTCCCATAAGCTCCTTGTCTGCAAAAGATCAACCTAATGAACCTTCTCTGGACTGCCTCCAGTATGTCTTCCCTCAGAAAAGGGGACCAAAACTGTTCACAGTATTCTCGGTATGGTCTGACAGCTGCCTGATATACTTTTAGCAAGACCTTCCTGTTTTTGTACCTAGTTCTTTTGGAAGTAAAGGCCAACAGTCGATTTGCCTACCCACTGAACCTGCATACAGATTCTTGTAACTCAAGCACTGATCCCTCTGTGCTGCAGCTTTCCACAGTCTTTCTCCATTGAAATGCTATTCAGCTCCTCTGTTCTTCCTACTAAGTCCTCACATTTTCATCTACCAAGGTTTTGCCCACTCGCTTAACCTGTCTATATTCCTCTGTGGATTCTTTGTCATCCTCACTATTTGCCTTCTCACCTATTTTTGTGTCACCCTAAAATTTGACTATAGTGCTTCCACTTTTTTCATCTAAATTATTTATATTGTAAGTAAATGTAGCCCAAGAATTTATCCCTCTGACACTTTACTAGTTACTGGTTACCAAAGAAATTGCTTTTGTGGCAATACTATGGCTATAAGAGGAGTATGTTGTCCTTATTTTTATGAAGAGTGGTTTTAAGACAGAGACGACGAGCTGTGTATTTGAATCCAAAAAACAGCTTGTGAGGCCTTGAGTTTTTTTAAAATTGGAGCAATAGAAGCAGCCTGATAGGGTGGGGTCAAGCTCCCACAGACCCAAGATTTTTAGTTTTAGATTTTCAGGTGCAGTTGTTGCTGGGGTCTTGAGGTTGGGTTTGGAAGCTTCAGTACATCTCTCCCTGTTGCTCTCTCTCTCTCAGAACTTTCTCTTGATGTTTTTTCCTCCTGGGCTAGAGAATTGCATATGAGACAATCTATTTTACTAAATGTTCCTTTGCCAAGGGTGTGTTTATGGGATGTTATTATATTGGAACATTTACTAATCTATTATTCTGTTATGTTTTCCATTAGAATTAAGTTATTCAATTTCTTCTTTCTTTTGTTGTATTTTAACTACAGTGTTTGAATAAAGCGTGTGTTTGCTTCACAACTGGTAGTTTGACCAATCAAATTGCATTCAGAATGCAACGCCTGGCACTTGCCTTTACATTAAGAAAAAGTTAGGGAATAGGCCATCTTCTTAATGTATTTTGAGGGGGGTCGGTCTGGTTCATAACAGTTTCCTTATTCCAACTCTCAGTCGTCTATTAATTAGCTAAACCTCTATCCATGCTTGTACATTACCTCCAGCACTATGTGCTCTTATCTTATTATGCCTTACGTGCAGAATCTCACCAAAGGCCTTTAGAAAATCCAAAAATATTGTATCCACTTGTTCTTCTATATCTACCCTGCTTGTTATCTCCTCACAGAATTCTAAGAAATTCATTGATTCCACCTTCATGCAGCCATACTGACTCTGCTTGATTATATTACAAATTTCTAAATGCTCTACCATTACATCCTTTATAATAGACTCTAACATTTTCTCAGCAACAGATGTAACAGGCCTACAATTACCTATTTGTTGTCACCTTCCTTTTTGAACAACATTGATGGTTTTCCAATCCTTTTCGACTTTTCCAGAATCTAAGAATTCTTGGAAAATTACATACATTATTTCTATAGATACTTGTTCTAATATCCTAGGATGCATCCCGTCAGTCCAGGAGACTTTTCAATGTTTAGCCCCATTAATTTCCCAGTACTTTTTCTCTAGTGATTGTATTGTGCTTATTGCCCACTCACTCCCACTTTTGCCCCTTGATTACTTAGTGATTTCAGAACATTATTCATGTCCATCTAGTGAAGACTGATGCAAAGTATTTATTCAATTATAGAATCCCTACAGTGCAGGAACAGGCCATTTGGCCCAACAAGTCCACACTGCCCCTCCGAAGAGCATCCCACCCAGACCCATTCCCCTACCCCTGCATTTCCCATGTCTAACCCACCTAACCTAAACATCCTGGGCACTATGGGTAATTTAGCATGGCCAATCCACCTACCCTGCAATCTTTGGACTGTGGGAGGAAACCGGAGCAACTGGACGAAACCCACACAGACACGAAGAATATGCAAACTCCACACAGACAGTCGCCTGAAGGTGGAGTTGAACCTGGGTCCCTGGTGCTGTGAGGCAGCAGTGCTAACCACTGAGCCACCGTGCCGCCCACTAGTGAGGGAGCTCGTCGTCTCTGGGTGGTTCTCTGCCATTTCCTGGTTCCCCGTTATTATTACCCTGGTTTCATGTTCCAATTATTTTCTCCCTTTTTTTTTCATGTTGTTAATCTTTTGCTGGTTTTTAAAACTTTCCAGTTCTCTAGCTTATCACTGATCTTTGCCATATTGTATTTTTTCTTTTCAGTTTAATTCTATCCTTAGCTTTCCTGGTTAACTACGGTCAGTTTAGTTCCTTCCAAGAATCTTTCTTCCTAACTGGAATATATCTTTGCTGTAAGTCATGGCCTACTTTCTTAGACATTTGCCTTTGTTCATCACCTGTGTTTTTCTCTGCTAAACACTTTTTCTAGTCCACTCCAGCCAACTCTGCCCTCATCACTATGCAATGACCCATATTTAAGTTTAGCACAGTTATTTCTGACTCAACTTTCTCACTCTTAAACTGAATGCTTTTTTCTCTAAGTGGTTTCTGTACACTAAGGAATCTTATTTTCAGATAATTTGTAAAACCTTCTTCATTATGCAGTATCAGATCCAAAATAGCCTGATCCCTGGTTGGGCCATTGTGTTGCTGATGGTCTGAAGGAATGCCCAGCAATGCAGTAAGGACATTGACCTTCTGTAAGGGTAAATCTTCTCTCTGCTACCTCACACTCCCTCTATCTATACCACACATACCTCCCACCAAGGCTGACAGTCTACAAAACTCACTATTGCACGCAGTATTTCCCCTCACTTACTCTCACCCATCCCAACCTCCTACACATCTAACCATGCGTGTCCTTTTTGCTGTCTACTCAGTCACTCAGGACACCTCACCAACTTCACCCAATCAGCATCAGCACTAAATACTGTGTCAGACATTTTCATTTCAATCCAGCCATCCTTTTGATTCATTCCAGGAGGAAAGGACCCACAATAGGGCAGAGAAGACTGAGACAGGTACAGTGTAACTGATATTCATCTCCTCACCACTTTCCCCTCTCCCCCACCTTAGACGAGAAATCCTTGCCTTAGCGGGAGAGGACGATTCTCACTTGTGTTGAGTCGTCTGTGCCAGCAACCCTGTAAATATTCATTGCCAAGAGCTCTCCCTTTACTAGTGCAGTGAAGCCATTATAAACATCTGCCACTATTTCATAACGTATTCCTTCTCTTGCCTCCTGCAGGCACCTACAGCATCCGCATAGTCTTCACTTTGAAGAAAGCAGCCTCTCCAGGCCTCAGCTCCTTCCTCACCTCCAACAAAAAGATTCAGATCCCTTAGAAGATGCACTGGCAAGGCTGCCTCCTGCACACTCAACCCACACAGATACTGACACCTCAGTGAGTAATTTAGACTTACAATGAGACTCAGGAGCTAATTTGAAATGAGCACATCGTTGCCAGTTCTCCACTGCTAGCTGAGGCTTAAATGCCCCATGGCATTGGCACTCAGGGTACTGCCAGAGACCAGATATCTGCTCAGTCTCAGTCAGGAGAAGGTATTGGCCAATAGTAAATTTATTCAAAGGCATGAAGAGACACGTCAGAGGTATGTCAGAGATACTCGAGAATTGGAACAAAAGTTTGGAGGAGCTGTTGGGACCCTGTTGTTTTTGGCATGCAAGAGTCTGACTATCTCCATGGACAGGTTGGCAGATGCCATGGAGAGCCACGTCCAGCACACATAGGGTCTGTTGGATATATGGGCAGAACTGTACACCATCAGTTTAGCCATTGATGTAGCGCCAAGGGCAAGGTGACAGGGAGAAGAAGGCCCTTGACCTCCCTCACTTCCTCACACAGAGACAGGGCTGTGCCAGTGCGGATGAACTCCATGCAGGGCCCCTCCAGCAAGATACTCTAGAGGTGTCTGGCCCCACAAGCTGCCTGCAATTCCCAACTGTGTAGGAGGGTGAGCCTTCACCTACACAGAATACCCTCAGCATGTCTGGATCCTCCAACAACAAACATCCCAGGGGTCACCTGCCCTAATCTCCAAGACTTCCCCATA